CCAACCTCCAAAATGTGCCCAGGAGACTTGGCAGGGGGCTGGAGTTCCCACAAAGGAAAACGGTGTGGACTGGGGTCTCTACAACGGTGAGGATGAGGGGGCTGGGGCTGATGTCCCCACAGGAGAGGATGAGGGGCTGGGGCCCCACAATAATAAGGTTGGGAGGTTGGGGTCCCCATGATTGTGATGCTGGTTGACAGGAGACATACAGGCCGGGCTCAGACACAGTGGCCATGGCACAAGGCCAAAGCCACACTTGGGGTGTGACTGACCCACTGGGCAGAGCTGCCTGTAGGTACCACTTACCTGCTCACCCCAGGGCAGGCAGCTGCCAGGGGTAAGAAAGGGCATGTTGGCCTCGCCCACCTGGCTCTGCCTACAGGGCCGGCTGACAGGGCTGTGTCCCCGGGTCGGCCACCCATCCTGAGCCAACTCAGGGTGGGGAGGGGGCAGCTGGGTCCTGCAGGAGTGTCCCACCCAGGCACAGGCCCTGAACTCATTCTGTAGTTCTGCTTCCCCTGGACAGGGTCAGGGGTCAGAGGTCAGGGGCAGAGCAGCCATGGACACCTGAGGGAGACCCTTGGGGGCCTGCAGGGCTGAGGACCGGAGGTTGCTGGGAAGGCACAGAGCACAGGACAGGACCAGTGCTCCTGACCCGAGCTGTGCCCATGGCGGTGCCACCGTCACTCCGCCAGGCTGCCAGGCACCCTGTTCTAGGCAGAGCTGGGTCTTTAGGATGGCAAAGTCAGGGAGCGCCACCTACTGGCCAGAGGCCTGCTGGGCAGGGGGAGTGGGGCCAGGTCCAGTGGGCCAGGTCCAGTGACCCCGGAGAAGACATGGGCCTGGCAGGAAGTCTGCATGGTCCCCTGCTGTCAGCAGGCCTCCCACTGTGGCGTTAGACAAATCAGCCATGGAAGTCACCTCCCCCCAGGCCCCAACACCCCCTCACCAGCACATCCGGGAGCACCAGGGCGGTCAGCTGCCGGCCGTGCACAGCCGTGTCCCTGACCAGCATGTACAACCGCTCAGCCTCTGCGAAGCAGGCCACGTCCAGCACCACAGCACCTGTGGCAGGTGGGCCGTGAGTTCAGGCGGCGGCCAGCTTCAGGCCAGCCCATCTAAGGGCATTCCCACAGTGTGGAACCCACACCCCTGGGGGAGCCTTCAAGGACGGCTGGACTGAGACAGGACACAGTGAGTGGATGTGAGCAAGGCCACCAGGAGGAGGGTGGGAGCAGCTAGGCGCACCCTCACCCCCGAACCGCCGAGTCCCCTGGGATCTCAGAAGGGACGTGGCCCATGGTGCTGCTCCCCCACTTCCAGAGCGATCTGAAGTTTTGCATGACAAGGATGTGAACCCGCGGGAGAACCGGTAACGCTCTCTGTGCCTCAGTCACATTTTAGCCAAAGCATTACAGCCATGAGCCAGGAAACAAAAACATGTTTCCCTCACACGTGGTTCCGAGAGAAAGGTCAGGTCTACACAGGTGACATTTAACTCGGAAGCAAAAAGAGCAGGCTCTTCCATCTAACTCTGGGGAGTGACCTTTGACCAAACCCGACCGGCCATAGGGGCAGCTCACCTTGCGGGGAGTAGACGTGGCTGAGAGACACCAGGCCGGCTGCAAGACAGGCTGCAGTCAGGGGAGGAGCAGGGTGACGCAGCAGAGGCCCCTGCCCCCAGTCACTTTGCTCAGGGGTCTCCTCACACCACCCGGCAGGGGCGACCACCCCATGGGTGCCCATGCCCCGGCTCCAGGCACAGGAGGCGGCTCAGAAGCCCCTCAGAGGCAGTGTCCCGGTCTGGGCCCCAGAGGCGAGGAGAGACCCACTGGGTGGGGAACCAGTGGTAGGGGGTGGCAGGAGGACCTGGCCTGCCCAGCAGCCCCCACACGCTGCTCGCAGGACTCCTGCCCCACCCCTGGTAGCCAGTAGCCAGTAGCCCCAGGCCAGCACAGGTGGTCACACCTTTGGTGGCCACAAACTCGTCCAGGAGGCTGTCATACTCCTGGGGAGACAGATCAGGAGGCAGGCCACCAACAAACAGAGACACGCGTGGGACCACAGCCCTGCTCTCAGCCACATAGAAGCGCGTCTGACTCATCTGCCGCAGGGATGTCTGTGGGGAAGGAGAGGGGCGGCGCTGAGCACAGCAGCGGGGAGCACCCCGGCGCCAGGCCTCGCCACTGGCACCCAGAAAGGGACCCTGGGAAAATCCCAGGCTGAACTATACCAGCTGGAGGAGCGGATGGAAGACAGGGAGCTCAGGGGGGCCTGTAACAGTGACCTGTTAAGACCCACCAGGGCCCAGATGGGGAGGCGTGCTGGCCAGGAGGATCAGCTACCCACCAGGGGGGACATGGGGCCCCACTATGAGGCAGAGGCCAGCAGCTACCAGGGGCAGTGTCCACACACACTGACCTTCCGGAGGTCTCGGAGCCGGTCGAGCAAAAGCTCTTCCTCTGCCAGCACCGTCCGCTGGACTGCAGGATGACAGGGACGGCCATCAGCACCAGGCACTGTGCCCACCTCTGCAGATAGCTGCCCGAGACCCCAGGGCACCCAGAGGCAGACAGCTGGGGCATCGCTGCATGCCACCTACTGACCTTGCCTGCTGCCCATGAGCACCTCCACCAGCTGGAAGCTCTCAGGACCCTCGGCCTGTGGGGGGCAGAGTTGGGGGTATGAGGCCGGAACCAGCCCTCACCTCCCATGTGGGCATCACCGCCAGGACCGGGACAACAGCCTGGCCCACTGGCCTAGGCAGGACCAGCATACACACCTGGCGACCCAGCAGCGGGAGGACCTCCAGCACCACAGTCCGCACAGTGCTCTGTGGGGTCACACGGATGGACACGTAGGCCACACCCACCCTGCAGGGGACAATCTCAGGAGCTCAGGCCACACAGCCCCAACCCTCCCGACCCTGCAGGCAGACCGTGTGCCCGGGGCCTGCGTCTCACTTGAGCCAGGCAGGGTAGACCTTCAGGACCTCCTCGGGTCGGGGCAGAGCTCGGATGATCCAGGCCTCAGGAGTGGGCTCTCGGGACCCGGGGCCCCTGCTGCCCTCCTCCTCCAAAGTCCCGCCACTCGGGGCCTTTCCCAGGCCCCCGGGGTCACCAGCCTGTACAGGTGAGGGGAGCGCCTGCAGCTCAAAGTCTCGAGTGTCCTCTGTGATGTAGAAGGCCCGCAGTGCCGCCTCCTGTGGGGTGGGGTCAGGTGTGGATGGGGGGGCCATGCTGGATGGGCCCTGCCCCCAGCCTGTG